GTCACGGCTCCGATTCAGAATATCGGTGCTAGATGGATCTATGTGACACACACTCTCAAGAAGATGTGCCATTGTTAGTACGATACGTAGGTTCATGTTCCGGATTTTGTTGTCAAGAAAACATAATTTAATTTATATTTTGGAGTAGTAATTATTTTTAATGCTAGTGGGGTGGGACTAAGCTCCTTGTACTGACTGTGGCCACTTCTGGCCTATTTTACCAGCCCCAGATGATAGGTGAGGGTGATTGTGGAGCAGTTGGTTGAATGAAGATTGGCAGGGGAAACTGAAGTACTGGGAGAAAACCTGCCCCAGCGCCACTTTGTCCACCACGCCATGAAGAAGTAAAGGGGAGTGGAGGTATAGCTACACCAATTTTGAACTCGGCATTATACAGAGGTGTGTGGTTAGCTTCATGGTCCAGGCCGCGCCATATCTTAGCGGTTAGTCGCTTGCTTCCCACCGTGGCGGCCCTGGTTCGATCTCGGGTCTGGTCAGGTGGGATTTGTGGTGGACAAAGTTGCGCTGGAGCAGGTTTTCTCCGAGTACTTCGGTTCCCCTGCCAATCTTCATTCCACCAATTTCTCCACAATCACCCTCACCTATCATGTTAGGCTGGTAGAATAGGCCAGAAATGGCCGCAGTACAAGGGACTTAGCCCCACCCCACTAGGAAAGAAAAAATAGTTTCATGCCCCGGCCGCTTCATCCCCGGGGGAAACAAAGCCCACTCTACTCATTGGAATGGAGACTGCGTGGGCATCAGAGTCGGTCTGGACACCGTGGAGTAGAGAAAAATCTGTTGCCCCTACCGGGAATTTATCCCCGGCATCCCAGTCCTTAGAGGGGCACACGGTAATATAGCCGGAAGGTCGTGGGTTCTAGTCCCGATGAGGTCTTTTCAGTTGACCTAATTCTTCCGGCCGCAGTATGGCCCTGGGGTCGACTCAGCCTCTAATAAAAATGAGTATCAGGAATCTTCCTGGGAAGTAAAGGGCGGCCGGTGCGTAAGGCTGACAACCTCGCCGCCATCTGTGAGCCGATTGCCTAGAGAAATTGTGGGACCCTCGACGTCTTACAACCTTACGGTCCTCCACGACCTGTTACAGGGATAGCTTTACTTTTTTTTCCGGCCCTTAGCCTGTCTTTGTACCGACTGAGCTCTCCTGGATTCACTTTATAACAACAGTAAAAAGAAAAATCACGTCCCGTCTTTAGGTTATCAGACCCTTGCCAACAATTCTGGAGAATGTTTTCTTAACGAGAGGGCTAGTGCAGTTCGTCATGTCGCTATGGGTGTCAATTCAGAACAAGGAAAACTTCACTTTATTTATATAAAAAAAATGTAAAAAATGTTGATGACTCAGTAAAATGACTGATACGAGCTTTGTAGACCAAGAGTCGGTACAGCTCTTCAGATTAATATTTTACATGTCCCAAAAACCTTAATAAAGCGCATAAATGTGGGGGGGGGCGATAACTGGAGCATGAAATTTACCACTCACCTGCATATAAAGCCCAGACTAAAAGTTACTGGAGCTTCGTATCTGCTTCTATGAGATGATGTTGAAGGGTACTAATAATTTTAACTTTACGGATAACTTAACAAATAACTAAGTACGAGGGAGAGTCGGTAATTAGGTCACAAATGGAAGTAAAACAGCTCTAATGGACGTAATCAGTTTTCTATATGTATCACTAAGTAGCAGCACAATCCAGCTTCATGATCATCTAGGTAATAGATGCGCATGCGCATGGCCAGGAGCTGGTTTCAGCAGTCAAAATGACGACCGCGCTTGAGGAGTATACTACCGAAGAGCAGCTATCGTAATGGGAGAAAGGACTCAATGCAAAGAATATTCATAAAGAAATGTTTTCTGTTTTCTCTGGGAAGTGTTTTTCTCGTAAAGCGGTTCACAAGTGGGTCGAGAATTTCTCTACAGGACGTTGGAAATTTGCAGATAATGAAACGGGGGTGCGGAAGTCAACAGTCAAAAGACTTCTGGGCTGCGGTTTTCGACACACTGATAAATTGATGGGACAAGTGTATAAATGTTGGTGGCGGATATGTCGAGAAATTTAACGTTCTTTTTACAGTTTCGAATATTACATGTTTTACGTTTTACATCCGTTTATGATCGATTTACTGACTCTCCCCTGTCCACTAATGCACTCACTGATATCATAAACTGAATTTTGAACTCCGCTGGCACAACATCTCGCAATTGGGCACGGTTCTGAGCCAGATATAATCATATTATCGCAACAACTTATGTTTCTGAGATCCATCTTAATATAATCCTTAGCTTTCCTCAGTTTTCCAGGATGTCCACTAAATAAAATTCTGTACGCATTCCTTGCTTCCCACTGCCAGAGCTTCGTGGTTTATTCCATTTCTTTTTCGTGACAATAACAGGTGACATAAATCACGAAATTCTTTGTGATGCAGTCCAATAATCTAAGTTGTTCACTTTACTTTATTCTTCTTAGTGCCAGGATTTCCCTGGCAACTTTACTTTCAGGAACGTCTAATACATGTTCTTCAGGAAACATAGATACCATGTTTAATATACATATATAACAACTTGNTGTGTGTGTGTGTGTGTGGAATTACATGCGTGTTAGCACCTAAAATCGATATTCGCCTGTCTAAAATTCATGTGTGTTTCGGCCAGTTATTTAGCTCGTTTTAAAATTGTACGAAGTCAGACCATGTATAATAATTTTGGAATGTATTATTTTATATATTTATATTTCGTGCTACTGAATGTATACGTGATGGTTCAAGCCCTGGCCTAAATGATAACAAGTATTCATTTCGTTTACGCTTCCCATAATGTAATTACGTATTTCATTCCATGCCTTATTCTTTTATTCATATAACTACATCTTCTTTGTGTTTTATCTTTCAACGTTTCAGAATAATCGTCACGCAAATTTATATAAAGCCCTTCTTTTCTTTTATTCATAATCACATCTCTATAGTTCGTTCATAAAACGGTTATCATCAAATGGAATATGCACAACAATAATATAAATGGAAAACAAAAATTATGAAAAATATATCAAACATATAAACATGTAAAATGCAATAAGTTATACTAGATAAATTCTTATAATCTTTGCATTACAATATGGATATTTTTGATATTTTGTATATATTCCTCACGATGATGACTGGTTTACGGTCGAAACATGTAGTGTGTGATTAGGAATAAAAATCGAGAAAGTTTGTAACATAAGTTTTTATGAATGTTGATCTCAAACCTTGAACTGTATATTTAAATTATGACTTAGGTGCTCATTTTGAGAATTATTTACATGTACTTTCTGTGTAACAGCCGGAGATTACGCTTTTCTTACACCAAGATTGTGTGCCACCCTGTTCACAATATGCAGCAACTGGGGTACTTTTAATTTTGTGCACGAAGACAAACGACTGGAGCTAGTAGCTAAGGGAAATCTGGCAGGGCTGCTAGAGAAAGCCTTCACTGGAAATTAAATGAAACGAGCGGACACAAAGAGAAAGACAGAGAACCTCCCCATTTAAATTTTGTTACGAGTCGCGTTAAGGTGCTATGGTGTGTCGAAAATCGTTAACCACTCTGGATGTGTTTTAGCAGACCAGTGAAAAGTCTAGGGAATCTTGGAGAGGCTACTGCTGCTTCGTGGATTTCCTTTTATGAGCTCACTGTATTCAGTGCACTAAGTGAACATTTTGTCACGTGTAGGGTGGTACGCATGAAGAAAATAACGGGTTCTAGTTCGGTGATTGGATTTATTAGCTCCTTGGTTACAAGTTCTCTTAATCACAATTCAATACAGCGCCATCGTTGATTTTCACACTTTCCAATCACCGTGCACTATGATTTCTAGTCTTCACTAGTCGTCTCCTGGCAACGGATCTCAACACGGAAATTAGCACTTCAAATCACTATGATGTCTTTTTGCTATTTCGTCTTCAATCACTGAAACTTCGGGACTAAAAATTCTTCTGGACTCACTCCTCAAATTCACATTGGGACTGACGGTTAGTCAGTAAGTCAGTCTTGGTGTCGAGCTCCATGACCAGATATTCATTACTGTGGATAGAAACGCAACAGCTTTCTAATTTTTTAAATGTAGTTTTTGTTGACAGTACAGTAAAGTACAGTTGTGACGGACCCGAATATGACGGGATTCCTGACAAATCGGGTAAAATCTGGCCGTGTGCAGTTGTGAATTTTTAGAGATGTTAAGGCGCTAAGCATGTTTTGTAGTTACGAAATTATTTAAAAGAATACATTGTAAACACCTTTTATGTAATGCTCTTGTAATGCTCCGTAAATACCCTTTAACTTGGTTACAGCGGACATCGCCGATAACGACCCCCCTCCCCCTATTAGTCCGTTATAACGAGGGTTTACTGTGTTGTGGCTTCGTCTCCCGTTATTAAAATGACAAGCTCTTAGATATATCATTACATTGCTATACCAGGCATTAAATTTTAAACAATTATTATTTAATAATCTACAACAGAACAAAATTTAATTCTCATGCAGTAGCGTAAGAATTTCCAATTCTTTATAAAGTCTCAGGTGCTTTTAGTTTCATAACCTTTAAAAATGTCATTCTTTCGTACCGTACCAATTTTATGACTGTTTCCTTTCAAACACTAATAAATTTATAGTTTGTTATCATGTTTCCTGTAACATTTGTAAAGAGAGTGCTGGAAGTTAAACTGTTGATACTGACTGCGAGAAAGAGACTTGTGAGGAGGTTGTAAACTGGAGCATAAATCAGGATTCACAGTGTAATTTATGTTACTGTTAAGTTCAGCTGGACACTTTACACGCCCTACATTCCCTTACCCTGATCCCTGCCAGAGAGGACGCTGTATTTTGTCCACTGAGTAAGCAAGCGTCTGTCTGAGCATAGCGTTGTGGAACTGTATAGAATGTCATTGTCGCTATGACGTATCAGCTACTTGACCTCTGCGTGACTTCTCTACACTCACGCCGTTAATTATCAGTCGAAACGCTCTTCACTGCCTGATCCATACAGCAGCGAACTTATTTTTAGTTCAGTTCACCGATTAACTGCAGGGAGAAGTTTGGTTGAAACTGCGCCGCTTTCTACCGTGTTGTTTTCCTGGGCAGCATTTTTACGTGAGTTCATTTGTTTCTATGAAAACTTCGGTAATGCAGTTCTCTGTGTTGTATGTGCTACGAAAGATCCGAAATTGGTGTTTTGTTTTAGCCTCGTGTCCATCTGTGTTTAATTCATTTCGTTACTGACTGTGTGACCGGAATATCTCAGTGTAGTGAATGGCTGAAGGCTGGATGGTCAAGGTTCGGTTCACATCTCTGGAAGGGATTTTTCTCTTCTCCATGGCGTCTAGACTGGTTATGAAATCCGCTCAGCGGCCATCTTATCTAACTACCGGGGGTAAAAAAGGCGGAGCGTGAAGTTTGCCACGTAACTTAAATCTAGTGCCCACATTAAGCCTGCGTGGAGTTATACCTCCGCTTACTGCCATGTTTTCATTACCTCGTGCGTAATTAAGCGCTGGAACAATTCTTTCGTTACCTTATTGGTGTGTTGTAATGAGATGGTAATAAGAATAGTACATAATTTGTATATTGCCGTAACAAAAGGTAAACGCACCTGAGACATATAAAACTGCCATTCCTTACTGTACTGTAAAATTAAATTCTGTTTAGTCGTGGAATATAAACCTTTTAAGGCCCGGTGGTTCTGTGAGTAACGCTGCATTCTCCTCACAGAGTGCGTCTGAGTGCTCCGCAGGGTTAGTTCTCGGAATAAACAGCAACAGTTTCCCTGAACAGCATTAACCGGTTCTTTGTGCCGGAGTTGTAATGTACCTGTGAGGCATAAACTGAATTTTTGCATATTATTTAGGAGAAATTCAGTCTTCAGAGCGTTACTTAAGGAAATATGTTCAATCTGACGGGGGTCTTTAAAAATGATTTGTATTACGTAATACATGCTGCTGTTTAAAGCGTTCATAATATCTTACTTCAAAAGTGACACACACAGAACAAACAACCACGTTAGTTACTTGCCTCAAGATTCATGAAGTCACCCTTAAAATTAAGTAAAAGGGAAGAAGAAAATGGTCGGAATTTGTTTGGACCTAGGAAGTGAAAAATATATCAATATTCCATGACACCATGATTATCGCTATCATCAACAGAATCATTATTATTAAGTAATAGATAAGTTAACTTATTTAGTATCTGTAGAATAACTTCCCAAAGGAATATTGAGAGCGACATTTCTTATTTTGTAGAATTACTTCGCGAGACAGATGTCATTTCATTCTTATCATCTGTGTACGAGTGACGCAACCTCATTAGTAATGAGAGTTGTACAAAAATGCTACAGATTAGGTAGAGCTATCCATATAACAGGCCATGAAGGCCCATAGGGTTGTGGAACGTCAAGGCTCCCCACATTATCTAGACAATCGGCTCACAGATAACGGTAAGTTTGTCAGCCTTACGCGCCGGCCGCTCTTTACTCCCAGTAAGATTCCTGGTTCTCTTTTCTGTTAGAGGCTGAGTCGACCCAAGGGTCATAATGCGGCTGGAAGTATTAGGTAAATTGAAAAAAAAAATCCACCTCATCGGGACTCGAATCTGCGAACTTCCGGCTTGTAGCATAGTGCCAACGCTACCGCGTGCCCCCTGCTACAGATTAACAGTGCCTTAAATGCCCTGTTTGCCACTCCATTAGTATGACAAGAATTATACCTGTATAATCAGTTCTAGCATGTGTATTGTTCTTTTCGGTGTAGTCTATATCAGCTGTAAAGTACAGAAGCTGTGGCCGATCGAATGTTTGTAATCTGGTTCCGCTTATTTTAACGTTGAAGCATGGAATTCAACTAACTGGAATATGTTTGTGTGCAATGGGCTAATTACCTTGAAAGCTACACATGTTGTTCAATGGGAAAATTCCCATGTGTATACATAAGACATTTAAATACACTGTTATTTTGAAAACAGTTGAGCGACCAATCGCTGGAACGTGTGGGTGGGTGCAGCTGTTTGAACTGTTGCCACATGGCGCCACACAGGGACGTGGCGAGAGAGGGAAGCCTGTCTGGCGGTCTCTGTGACCTCAGTACACCGATCAGTTACACTGAATGTCCGACACAAGAATTGGCCCGTGTTGGAATTTTAGAATCTCAAAATCGATGCTTGTAAAACGTACTGTCTAGTGGGTTGTGGCATCTTGTAGTACGGTAGAAGTACAGTGACGTTTCGGAAGAATATACTGCTGCCATCTTCAGGATCGAATATGTGTTAAGCAGACAACGAGAAAGGAAAACGTTAGAATTTTTTCATGTTACTACATGACGTCATATCCTGACGATAGTACTCTTTATTACCCTGACCGAGTTTCTTCGTGGTTAACCCCAGCCCTTCCGGGTGAAGGTCGGAATAGCCCTCCAACGGACAAGAGTGCAATTTTGGCCTAATCGAGATACTGTCCCAGAATGTTTGTGGAGGGACTGAGGAAGAGAATGAAAAACCTTAGTCAGGATAACTGGTGTCTCGGTCGAGCTTCGAACCACGTACACCATAAATGCTGTTCTAGATCGTTGCCGTTGAACGATCCTGTCAGGCAGAAATTGTTCGGGAGAAGACAGATGAAGATAATCTGGCGTATGGACCCGTTGCTAAACAGTGACTCTGTAAACATCGGCCGTTGCTAGGTAACGTCCGCAACATTCACACACGCAACAATAGAAGAACGACGTTTTGCTATCTGGTCCGCGCCGCGACTATTGCTATGCAACTACGGGGTAAATACGCCTCTACATCAATAGAGTCTTTTTTTTTTCTTGCGTGGTCCATTCCTAGGAGTTATCGTGAAGACAACCGTGGCTACAAGGCAGTTGAGGGTTCAGTTGTGGAGTGGTAATGAGAGGGCAACGGAAAAGGAATAATCTTCGTTGCTAACATTCGTTACCAGGAAACGTCTAGTGAAGTCACGGCAGAGGAATAGCCATTGTGGAGAACTATTACTAAGTAAAGACTAATGGAAATAGACTGAGAAGACTTAGTGTCGAATGATTTGTGGTGTGGAAATCGGCACTAGTGTAATAATTATTTGTAGTTTTTACCTGTAAATGGTCAATAAATCTATTCACCAATCCAAACCTCGTCTATAATCACTAATACAGGCGACAATAATTAGATGATTTTATTTCACTACGTTTTTTGTTTCTTACCGAATGATTTGGTCGGAAGATTCTCTTGGTGTACAAGATTTGTGTCACCACATAAAAGCAAGTTCATAATCTGTGTAGCTGTTGAAGGAGAGGTCTGATAAGAAAATATTGCCGAGTGAATTAGATAGTATAACTTCGTATACTAAAGAAGCCCAGGCATTCGGTCAGGGTCTGTACTGACAAAACCACGAGTTTGTTGCAAATGTGCCACGAGACCGTATCGTCTTGTCAAGAATAAGAGGCCGTCAGAGATGGATCAGTTGTTGTTCATGCTCCTGTCAGCTGGTTCATGCTTGGAAGTCAGGGAGATAAGAAGCCGCAAGATACCAGTTCATATCTTATCTGCATGATAGCTACCCTTCTAGCGTGCAGGGGATCTGACCTTGTTATGGCTGCTGATCGGACACGCCTTACATCTTCACCAAATACTCGTATCTTGCCTGAGTAAGACTCCCAAGTTTACTTTATTTAATTTATTTCACGATTTATTTAAATGTCCATTGCCACTGTATGTGATGCATGGAAATGACAGGAAGATTAGATTAAAGGGCCCGTTTTGCTTGTGCAGTTTCAAGACGTCAGGTAAGACGGAACACTGAAGAGGGCACAAACATTCCGTTTTGTTCTCAGTCTTGCGCTCAGTCTTCGCAGATCGTGCACGGAGGAACATGGTGAAGGAACTTATAATTACACAGCTCTAGCTTTGAGATCAAAAACGTTTTTTTTATTATGCTTATTATGCTTATTTAAAATCTACATCATTTTAGAGTATTAAGTAAATGTGTTGTAGGTGGTTGCCTTGCAATGGAAATATCCAGTGATGTTTCTCCTACATGTAGCCTATTTCATTGATTGATGATGTCTTGGGGCCATGTTCTGTTCAGTCTTCCTGTCACTGGACCGTTGGTGTATAATTCTTCTATTAATTTGTTGTCATGGTTTACAGTTTGGTTTTTATACCTTTCAGCCATTCTTAGTATTTCATTTTTGACGAAGGGTATCTTTAGGTCGTTATGGAGTGTAAGGTTGCTGACATACCATGACGCATCTGCAATTGCCCTTAGTGTTTTTGATTGGAATCTCTGGATGAGATTGATTGTCGACGGCTTTGCACATCCTCATAGCTGAAGACCATAGGATCAAATAGGTTTCAATGTAGCTTTGTATAGTAATATTTTGTTAGTCATAGAGAGCTATGATTTTCTATTGAGAAGCCAATACATTTGACGATATTTCATGTAGCCTTTGATCGAGGTGGAGGCCGAGATACTTCGTTTCTGTGGCTGTAGGTATTTGCACGTTGTTCATTGTAGATCAAAAACTATAAACTTGGCGTATAATTATTATCTGTTCCTTTGTCAGACTTTTGAGAATCCTTGACTTTCTTGAGTTCTTTTCGAAAACAGCTTCGTAATGAATTAATTTTTTTACCACTGCTTCCTTTGTTGCTTCTGGATCAATTTTCGATAACTTAACTCGTAACTGTTCATAAACAACATTTTTTTTTCTATTTTTATCGAAGTACTCTTTACTTTTGATCTTCCACAAACACGGATTACTACGATACAGCTGAATGAATTCGCTCAAAAATGCTCGGGGTACGATTCTCAAGTCCGACATATCGGAATCCACAGTTGGAACTATTAGTTAAAATTGACGCTAAAACTATAGGCTCCACACACGCTCCAACTTGCTCGCAGACATGCCTGTATACGCACAGAAAAATCAGTCTCTAACAGATTTACTTCAAGCCAAGCCTAAGACAGTACAGGGACGAAAATTCTACCTGACGTCTTAGACTTGCACAGGCAAAACGGACGTCCTTAAGGATTGGGAAGAACCTCGAAGGAAGCATCCTTGGCATCTTTGTATGTAAATGTCCAAGACTGTATCTTCTGTAGTTATTAGGATATTACACGATGTATATACTTGTATGTTCGTCATATGTGTTAGAGAGTAGTTACGAATAGGAGCAGGAAATATCAACAATGGAAGGTATGCTTGAGTAGGCATTACAGCATCAAGTTTTGCCAAACTAAGTCATGTAGAGACGAACTTCTTTGCTGCACATTTCTATTCAACGCCTTAGTATAAATGCAACTGTCTTTCCACAGTTTTTCAAGCAGCTGGGCTTTCAGTATTTCAGTACCTAACAATTTACCGCACTACCACCTTCTGCAGAATCTAAGATTAAGCCAAGCAAAAGGCAATAAGCATGCACCTGTGCTTGTTCTCTTCGAACCCGAAGATGGAACAGATACATTCCTCCAAAACGACGATAAACTGTTATCAGAGTACACGATGTACTCCCAGACGTTGGAACTCTGCAGATATGCTGATTTTCTTTTGCACGGTAAAGAGGAATGGAACATGGAGGAAGGGCTGTAGCCTATTTCAAGACATTACAGCAATATTTTGATAGTTGAAAATGTGTTCGGGATTCGAAACGCATGTCCCCAAAATTTAAGTGTTAACTTTTCATGTCTTTCACAGATTTATTATGTGGCGTAAGAAGATGTAACCCTTCTTTACTTTACTTGTCATATTATGTTCGCTGAAAGTTTAAAGAAGTATTAATTAACATCCAAATTAAGAGACCGAATTTTGCTCATGCAGAGTCCCATCTTCTGGGATATACCAACGTGTAGTCCGTTGAAAGTCAACCGACTACATGACGTCATAATCCAGAAACTAGGACTCCTCATAACGTTCGCTGTGAGAGCCTCGAGTCCTGTATGCTCATGTAATTAAAACGCAAACGTCTGGAAGTGACGAATCAAACCACGTCCGGTAACTGCACTGCAGTACTTTCACGTCGCTTTCACATGTGTTGCTCCCACTCACATTGGGGCTCATTTCACAGTGTTCTCTAATTTGTCAAGAATATAAAATAGGATACATAGGCTCAGGAAACAGAAAAGTTTCATGTCAGTCCCATTCACTGCATATTATTTTCTCACTTCTTAAATACAGTAAACGTAATACAGTTTTCAGGGAAAAATATAAAAAATAACGTAACAGAAGTGAACGGAGAAGTTCATGGAGGTAGGCCTAGGTCCACTGGGGCTGTAGTGCCAAGGAAAAAAAAAACGTAACAAATTAATTTTCATAGCCCAGTGAATGAAGAAGTATGACGCAACGAAAGTAGATGATTATTTTGTGATGCTGACTTTCATCTGCTGTCACAGCAATTGAGTGTAATCGTCTGGCAGCGTCCGACATATTGTTCAGCCAGTTGCGCCCGACGACTCCGCCTGGGCGGCCGAACGATTTGCGGGAAGCTCTGAGAAGGGCTCACACTATATTTGTATTCAACTTACAGTGGGAACGTATCGTCATTTAGTGACGTAGACCGTTACGTCGTCACGATACTTCCGGTACCCGTGCGAGTAGATGCGCAGGACTTCCATTCCTTAAGATCGCCTGCGCATGGTTCGATGTACCCTGGTCTGCAGAGCAGAGGCACTTCAGTAGATATTCATATAAAGTCATTATAATGTAAGAATGGCTTCATGAAGTCTGTATGTTTGATTGTGCTTTCCTATCTCGCCTCCGTGCAGGTGTTGGAGATGGTACGATTCCTCCATTTAGCGAGGAGTTGTCTGCAAATCACAGGAGAGGCAGTGGCGCTGAGGAGCTCTTGCTTTGCACAGTGCGACAGGTGTTTCCTGGGAACAAACACTGTGCCCCACTGGAGTGCGGGACATGTGACTGGTAAGAGAGATAGTAGCGTAAGGCTTTTGTTTTCGGAAGATTAGTTAAGTCTGCAGCAGTCTGCAGCCACATGCTACCGCTGGTTCTTCGCTCGCGGATTTTTTCTTCTACCCTGAAGATAGAAGTGATACGTTCCTCCGAAACGTCGGTTTATACAGTATCTACACGGCGCCACATCCCAGAAGACGGCATTATTTATAGTCACTACCGTGAAAACCTCAAATCTTACTTCGTGATTTTTTGTTTTCTTTGAAACATTCTTTCATGCCTCAGATAGTTAGGAAAGAAAACAGATCTTTTAACAGATCTTGTAGCAACTTGGCAGGAACTATGTAAGCTATTTATAGCCGAAAGAAATGCGTATAAATATTATAACGCGGATATTCAAAGGATGTTACTGGTCTTTTAGAAGAAGTTTTGTTTCTTGGCACGTTTCCTATCGAAATGCTGCAAAAATGCACCAATCAGCGTCGCTGTATTTACTCGTCCGTCTGCATATCTGATCGTATGTAACAACTGAGTTGTTGCATAACGAATGTTCATGAAATTTTATATTGGGGACTTAACGGAGGAGGAAAATAATTTTTTTTTTGGGCGGTGGGGGCTTGAACTTGTACGTTGTTTTGATCTGTGTGAATTTATTGACATTATAGGAGAGCATGATTTTTGTAAGATTTTCATGAAATTTTTAAGGGATAAATTTTGGGTTCTACTGACCCCCAAATTCAATATTTCAAATATTGCAATACATCGTGGCCAATTTCAGAGCTAGGCATGTCACATTCTCGCAAAATACTCGTAAAGGATAATTGTTTAATCTAAAATATGGATTTTTTTGTATGTAACTTATTTGGCCTGCAAATTAAGTCCAATTATTTTATTCCTTTTTTAAATATTAAAATGACGTTCTACGACCTTTAGGGATCACGCGGGAAAATAAATTAAATTTGTTTACAATCTCCTAATAATAGGTATAAAAGACCAGAAGAGAGCTGCAGAAATTATTCTTTTCTTATTTAAATGTTAGTGTCCTTTTCCTTAACCAGAGTGTGTGAAATACATTCCACTCTTGGATAAAATAGGATAACAATAATTGTCACTAAAGAAGAAGACCTGCAGTCACTAAATATTTATCAGAGCAAAAATATTTCTAACAGATTTTTAAAGAACAACAAAACATGTTTTACGTCTAGTACACTTTTTGTGAAATTTGATTGGTTTTCGAGATAACTGAATTAAGAGTCACGGGTCATGAGAAATCGAGGAACAAAAGCGCATCGGTTGCGGCAGGATTATTACGCATGTGTATACATTTTGTTGTGTCATATTTCATTTCGGTGATACGAGGAATTTGTCTGCTATACATAATTAATAATAGCTCCTGCTGTGGGGGTACGCGGTAGCGTAGTTGGTTGAGGCACTGTGCTACAAGCCGTAAGGTCGCGGGATCGAATCACGATGAGGTCATTGGATTTTTTCAATTTACGTAATCATTCCGGCCACACTATGGCCCTGGGGTCGACTCAGCCTCTAACAGAAAGAAATACCAGGAATATTCTTGGAATGTTCTTTGGGGTGAAGGGCGGCCGGCGAGTAAGGCTGACAACCTTACCGCCATCTATGAGCCGATTGTCTAGAAAATGTGGGAACCTCAACATCTCACAACCCTATGGGCCTCAACGGCCTGTTACAGGGATACCTTTACTTTTTTACTTTAACCCCTGCTGTACCTTTATTAATAAGGCAAAAAAAAAAGGTGTGTATTCAGTATCTTAATTATGTTCATGATTTTCTTTAGATTTCCGAACATTCGCCACCTACAGAACCCTCTCAGTGACGAAGAAGTATGGCGTGGAGAACCACACCCTGTCTAATATGACAGAGCTGAAACCAGTCACTGGACATCGCATCGGACTGTCTAGGCATTACGGCAAAGAAGCTGTCGAACATCGGAAGACAAAACTGTACGACTTCCATGTCCAGTTGAATGGGAAGATGGTGCCATTCGGAGGTTACTTACTTCCGGTAATAATGTAAATGACGAATCCTTAAATATCCCTTCACATCTGTAACTACACTAGGATTCGGTCCAAACGTGGGATCACTTCCAAAGATTCTCGCGTCCTACCGTCTGAAAAGTAATTGCGGAACCGAATAAGAGGCCTGGGCCCTGAATGGGCTGGAAGAGACATTGAAAAAAATAAAAGATTCTCACGTCGTAAGAATGAAACCAATAAGCACGAGGTCGGCAGCTTTCGATGCTGCAGAAGAAAATATACTGCGGTTTTCACAAAACTTAAGATATATTTTACATGGCCGACTCTTTTAATTGACATTTTAGTCTACTTTCTTTTTTTCTTTTTGAATGGATTATTGAGGAAACCAGAGTCGGAGTGTACGCAGGTAGCTGGAGTGGGTTTAAAATGCTAAATTACTTCAAGTTAGAGCTGCAAAATGGTGGGCCCCTGCAGTTTAGACATTTTATACGGTGTTTTGTGTGCAAGATAACATAGAAAACGCGAGACGAGTGTGTGTGCCTTTAGCGGATTTTGAACCCACAAGTATCGGTATAGACACGTAGAAGTTTGTCGCGTAAGACAATTCGTGTGTAGCAGCGCACTACAATGTACCAAATAACCGTAACCCAAATGGTTATTGTTATTGTTGTTATTGTTATTATTATTATTATTATTATTATTATTATTATTATTATTATT